TTCTTCTTCTCTCTCTCTCTCTCTCTCTCTCTCTCTCTCTCTCTCTCTCTCACGCTAGACTCGTTGATATCAGTTTTTGATTACGTCTATACTCGTTGCTATTGACTTCCTTTAAAAACACAGACCTCGTCATTCTCGATGTATCAAGTATTTTTCATCGTTTCACAATCAAAACACGCGACCACGAAGAGAAAACATAATCGATGTTTCTCTGTTTAAAAAAAAAAAGTGGAGATGGATTTTTCAAATCGAGGCAAATCGATAATCCATCGTCGATCCGTCAGATACACCGAAGAAGCACGTCTAAGTCGTAAAAAAATACGACTATGTGTTCGAATATACAATATACGACTATCATCTTTACTGTAGCGAAGGTAAGAAAAAGAAAGGTTGGACGACAAAGAAACGTATCGAAGGGTTCGAAGCCCGAAAAATCGAGTATCCGGAAAGTTTCTTCGGATTTTGTAATTCCGATAAATTGTTCGTCAGACAAAAGAATTTTTACCTAGGATTGAGAAGAGATTTATGGATGATGGATCGATATATCGATAGTTAATCCCAACGCAAAAAAGATTCGAATATATACCATCGGACCCTACTCTCTTAGCATTTTCGGAGGGAAGTCATGCTTTTGTTTGGACCGTAAGCGCAAACGATTTCCTCAACTGGTTAACCGTTAAGTTAAAGATTTTTCGGTACGTTCGTTCCCCGGTGATTTTTCGCCTTCTGCACGCCTCGTCCTCACTCGCAATTTTTTTTCTTTCTTTTTCTTTTTTTTTTCTCGGTGAACGGTCCAGGGCCGCTCGAGAGGTAAACCTTCGAGCAAAACGACTTTCAGAGCCCGCAGTAATGTACTTTCACATTTGCAAGACCGAGGCATTGAATCGTGTTGGAAACTCGTTTCGTATTGCGCGACGGAGAGGCGATAGGAGGCGGACAGGGATGGAGGAGTGAGAGAGAGAGAGAGAGAGAGAAGAGAGAAACCACCTTCAACGGGAATGATTTTTCGCAACGATGCACGACGACGACGACGACGACGACGACGACGACGACGACGACGACGACGACGACGGTGCCTCGAGGCTTCTCACGAAAATGCTAGCTGCTCGCCTCGTTTCGAGCGGAACGGTAACCCATCGTTGACGTTCATCGGTTTCGTGAGCATTGCGTTCGTCCACCGTGTCTGCGTGCTCGAAACACGCTCGATTCGTATAATTTAGGTGAGTCTGACAGTGTGGAAACCGTTTTGTTCGTTGAGAATCATCCATTTTTTTTTTTCCTTTTTTATCCACATTCACTATCGAGTATTTTCGAGCATGCTACGTTCCTGACTGAACTTTAGAGACCGCGGGCGAATACATGGTTCGCCGGTACTCTGATATTTAGAGAGCGATCTGTATTCACATTCCCGCGCAGGACAGCAAGTGCAGTGACCCAGTGACACGTGGAAAATCTGGTCGGTGGCGTTCGTGCGCGGCATGGATCCGGATGGATCGTATCGAAAACTCGCGAAGTGACTTTTAGTTCGGGTCTAATATCGACGATGACAGTCGTTGTCGTGGCACGTAGCTTAGCTTTTTGGCAAGGAAAAAAATCCGCGTGACTTGCTCGCCGCGGTAGATTCAAGGTGCCTCGATCGCTACGCAAATAGCGACGATTTTAATTTCCCACTTGCCAGGACACACAAAGTCTCGCCTTCCAATTGGCTTTCCAATCGCGATCGAGTATCCACGACTTTGGGGCTTTTCACCTCGATCTCGTTACATGTCACAAGGTTTTGCAAAGAAGAACAGAACGTAGAAAACTGTGATGTATTTCGAATTTTAAAATTCGACTCTCGAAAATAATTTATTTCACGCAAAAATCATAACGGGATAACGTAAGAACGATATACATAATTCGGAAAACGCATGGATACGATCTGGCCGTGAAAGGAGAATAACGGATCGAACGCTGTTGCGTTTCCAGGTCAGGCAGGAGCGCGTGAATTTTCGTACGAAAAACGGGTGCCCGTAGGCTCCTTCTCTCTCTCTCTCTCTTTGTCCATTTTCGAAGGCACTTGCCGTGAAACCGTTGAGGGATTTTTAAAGTAGGGTGCAGAAGCGCGCGCGACTGGCGGAGTGGGGTGTAGCACGATGTGGCGAAGTGGGATCGAGGGAGGGGCGTACCGTCGTACGGTCTGACTCTCTTTTATTGCACCCTCCTCTCTGGGTCGGTGCCGTGGACCCAATTCGCTCGGAGACCTGGACGACGTTGCGCCTCCAACGGGTGTGTTATAGACCCGTCGGATTTTCACCTCCGGATTGGAAAATTCAGAGTCCCGCCCGAGAATCGTTGCCCTTTAATGGCCAGTGACGTCACGCATCGCCAGGTACGCGATTAGAACAGGCCGGTCTCTAATGGGATCGTGACGTTTCACATTGCCGCGTTCCGATCACGGACGGAACGATTCGTCTCGTTTGCTTTCGAAATTTTCTCACGATGCGATTCACTCACGATAGAACTCTTCGTTCCGCCGATAATAATTATCGATCGCTACATGTTTTTCACGCGATTCGCGTTTCGTATCTATGCAAGAAAAAGATCGACTGTATCTTTAGACTGGGGGAGGGGGAGGAGGGGAGGGATTGACGCAGAAAGATCCGGTTTCACTTGGCTCGCACGCAAACAGATTATCTTCTAATCTAGAGGCCGAAATTTCTAATTACGTTATCGCCCAACTTTCGCAAATATTATACGTTGACGATCGTCGGAATATCGGTCTCTTCCATTTCTTTATACGACATGATGAGAATGTTTCAAAAAATGGCGTAATTCCTGATATGAATGGATCGGTAATACGTGGGGAGGTTATTTTTGTAATTTACAAAAAGACCGTCACCACGTTATTAATACTCCCTCATTCATATAAATTAGTCATAAAGATATCAAATTCTCGAACGCAAACGCGATTCCTCAAGTTTCCTCTTATTTTTTCAAACAAATGCACGTTAAATGGTTTCAATGGTATGAATCCTTTTCAGAATCTGAAAAGTTCAAATCGTAAACAACCTCAACGAATAAAATATCCTCGATGAAGTATTGTTTTCTTTATTGACGCGTTCTTATTCGACATTTTCATAAAAAACGATTGTACGAAGTTGACGAAAAAAATAGGAAATTTTCGATCTCTCGTTTATTGTTGTTTCACGAGATTATGAATTAATCACAAGACACGAGCGCGAATGTCTCGGTTGGCTACGACGGTGGCACGACCGTGAAAGTGCTTAGATCGGTCGGAATTTTACTTGTTTCCGTTGTCTCACTACCATGGTTGCAAATCGCTGGTTCGATTACCCGTATACTGTTGTCTTTTCTTTTTTCGTCGGAAACCGGCGTATCGTGGCGCATGGTAAAACGAGAAATCGATGAAGAAAACGATTGCACGAAACAAACGTTTATTTCGACAAACGTTAATTTACCATTGTAAAATTAACGGATAAAATGAACGTTACGCGCGTATTTATTATATTATGCGTTATGTATATCATGATTCTAAATAAAATTGCTCGTAAAGCAAAATAAAATTTCACAAATTGATCATTATGAAAAGCGATTCGCGTCATCCACCGACGTCATTATGACTCCGCTGAAATACGGAAAAAGATTGACATTAGAGTAGTAACGAAAAGCATATGTTTTTGAAAATTAAGATATTTGTGAAAAATTCAACGTTTTGCAATTCAAATTGGAGAAGCTTGTTGCGAATAACTTTTAATCCTATAAGATTTTCATGTGGCAATGTCCATATGTTCTGCAGATTCATGCGATAAAGAGGCCGTGATGGTTTCTTAAAGCAACGGCTGTTAAAATGTGTATACGTCAGTGTAGCACATGAGTCATTCGAGAGGAAACGAGGACGGGGTGCTTGATGCGCCCGCAATATCGTCGTCCCTGTGCGGAAAGTGAGCGTAAATCGCCGAAGCGATCCGAAGATGGCCGAAGTAGGGCCGTCGTGCGGCAGTCGAGCCCGAGCGATCCCCCGATCGCGGTCGTGCGTGTTGGAACGACAGGTACGGGCAGTCAGTAGTGGATTAGCGGCAACGGGAGCAGCAGCAGCAGCGTCCACGGCGGCGGCGGTGGTGCAGCGCTAACAACAGAACGAAACGAAGAGGAGGTATGATCGCTCGAATCGACGGAAGACATCGCGAAACGGGTAAATAACATCGCATTTACCCTGTCCCGGAAACGTCCATCGAGTGAAACGAAGGTGCGCGCAAACGCTGGCTGCTCCACGGAATATGTATGTGACGGAGGTGGGCGAGGGCCGTGCGAAAAAGTGGCGAAAACTGTGAGAGAGGTGCAGTGCCTCCACGTCGGTGGCAGTGGCGGTGTTGGTAGTAGTGGTGTTGGTGGTGTGGTGGTCGTGGCGGTGGTGGTGGTGGCGGCGGTGTGGCGTTGCTGGTGCTACTTCGGTGTATATGCGCGCGTGTATTGGTGGGACACGCACTTCGGCGGGGCCGTGGTTCTCGCTCTCTCTCCTGTTACGTCTCATTCCCTCTTTCTCTCGAACCCCTCTATTCACCGCGACTATCCTCTTTGTCGCCCTCACGGAGGCCATCGTACCGAAAGCGACCGAGCCAGGCCAGGCACTACGCAAGATGGCTGTGTGTCGCTAACGAGAGGCCGACAAACCAGACGGGGAAAAGACAACCCGGGGATAAACGGAACATGCTGCTACGTGATCGTCGGGCCCGTCCCTGAACAGAGAGACACTGGCCAAGAAGCGAGAGGTACGTTTTCTTTTTCTATTACATTAACATTGTCGATGACTCGCTTCGTTCCCTTCCTTCGTTCTTCTTTTTGACACGCCGATCTCGTGTGTTCCCATCTCTCTCACTCCGATCTGTAAAATGACACATTTCAAAATTTTTTCGGATGATTTTGTGGTTGACAGGTTGTCGAAGATATCATGACTCGTGTATCGTATTCGCTTCATTCTCGTTCGAAAGATTTATAACATCATCTATCGTTTTACATACGTGTATATCTCACGAACATACGTTCGATACGAGGAAAATATAAACAAATTAAAGTTTTCTCTTTGTGAACGTCGGCCAATCGCCGTGTGTTCATTCTATAAAACTTTTTTTTTGCGAAAGCTAGTCGTCCGATCGCGCGTTCGTACGTTATAATTTACTTCACGTAAGCGGCGTGACAGTTTAAATTTTTTTTCCGCACCAGGTTTCGTATGACATCGACGCGACAGTCATTTAGAAGATCGTGAGACGAGAAACCGAATCGAGAACATCTGTTGCCGAAAGCTTGAAAAGGCGAACATAACCTCAAAATGTCGGTTTGCATGCGTCGGTAGGTAGAAGATACGTGATCGGTCCGTATTGTCCACGTCTTTTTACTCAGTTTGTGTTTTCGACAAACTTATTGGTGGATGTTTGCGTGTGCGTTTGTGCTCGATAAACAACTTTTGTCGCAAATATTTTGCAAACTTTTCCAACCTTAACGATCGTTTCGAGCGTGGATCTCAATAGTATGTTGCGCAGTGGGACGCAACTCTGCGAAACATCGTATCCCCGGAATTGAACGAAATGCCAGCGGAATCGTGCCGACGGAGTGGAAAAATTTCAGCGTTGTAAGACGTTGTTATATGAAGAACATCTGTTTTAAGCAAATGCGTGCACGTATGTTAAAAGTTACATTGCAAAAATATATATTGAATCGGGATTTTTACGTGTCATCGTATTGCACGTCGTTGATGTATGTGTACATATGTACACACGATATTTTACTCATTACGAATAAAATTTTATTGCTTTTCGTTGCGTCGTCGGAAATTTAAGTTCGCTTGGAAATTTTCCATATACCGTAGCATACCATTGTTCACTTCGTACCATATATTCTTGCTATATCTGATCATTTATAAATTCGCTCCTTTTTTTCATGTTAAAAACTGTATAAGAGACAAAATTATTTCTCGTTGAAATCCAACAATGAATATTATATCCACATATCGAAATGATTATTTCTCAATTGAAATCACGTTTTCAGCGACGGATCGAAAAACTACGAACGATTTTGGTTAGGGTTAAGTTTTCAAAAGAAGATATTTCGTTTAATATCGTTTGTCTGAATCGAAACGATTAGTAAAAATAACATTAAAGTAGAAAAAGATAATCGTTAAGTTGAATCATTTTCCCGCGGAACTTCGACTGAAAATCCAATTAGTTTCATTCGTATCTCGCTTCCTCTACTTCGAACTTTGCACGTTCATCCGCAGATCGATCAGTGCTCTATATTGTCGCGTTTGATTATCGTTTTCTAATTATCGACTGCGTCTGGCAGTTCGTGCGGCAAACGAAGTAATCGGAAGTGGCAACTGTGCGATCGGTTAGCATATTTTATCTCGTTTCTGCTAGGTTTCCTCAAACGTGGCCTTCGAAATGGCCTTTCGGCTGAAAACTCTTGCCTCTCGACTACTCGACACGTGCGGACGCATTTCAGAAGGACATTGCCATACTTTAAGGTTGCTATCATGCGTGCGTATAAATGCACGCCTTCCATTTGATTTTATTTTTTTTTTTTTTTTTTTTTTTTGTCTTTTGCCACGTTTTGTCTTTAATCTTGGAATAGGGGAATGACAAAGCACGGCACCGGTTTTTATTATAGCATGTGTATAGCATAAAGGGCGAGGCGTCTACGTAGGCTGTGCCTAACGATCGTTATTGTTTCGAAAGACATAAGAGTAATATTAACGAAATTGTGTGGCAATGACAAAGTTTGATCGAAGATTGTTATTTCGTGATTTCAAGGTGATCACGAGCAATGCCGCGGAGTAAACCGAATATCGATCGATTACATTAAGCGAATGTAACTTGCTATAGCACTCGGGGACATTTGACGAACTAAGTTAACCTTAAGTTGACCTTAAATAAAGGAATAAGTTACGTCTAGCGTTGTACAATA